AAAAAAAAAAAAAAAAAAAAAAAAAAAAAGAAAAAGAAATAAAGTCAGCTGAGGATGTAACTTAGTGTGAAGGTGCTGGGATCAATCCCCAGTATTGCACAATAGTAATAATAGTATTTTGTGCAAATCAAAATGTAGCAATAAGCAATTAGGAATTGTAGCAGAAGATAGTACCCATTACAAACAGCAATTAAATAGAGAAAAAATCCTAGGCACAGTCATAACAGGAAATATATAGGCATGGCATTAAGTAAAATGCTTATGAAGAATGTAAAAGAGGATTTGATTAAATAGAAAAAAAATGGTCTGATATTAGGTAGGACTATCTTTTTTTTTCTCTTACCCTGCGGAGGATTGAACCTAAAAGCTGGTGTACCCTCGTAGTCCAGGAAAATCCATTTTAATGATAGCAGCTGCCCCCAGGTCCCAGTAAAAACACCAACAGAATTTATGTTGGAACTAGAAAAATTGATTTTGAAGTACTTATAAAGAATAAATAATAACTAGGAAAACTCAGAAAAAGAAGGGTAAGAAGGTGTATTGATCCTAACAGATTTTAAAATAATGTCATGCCTGGTGTGGTAGTGCACACTTGCAATCCCAGCACTCAGGAGGCTGAGGCGGGAAGACTGCTGCAAGTTTGAGGCCAACCTGGGCTACACAGTGAGTTTAAGGCCACCTGGAACTGTGTAGCAAGACCCTGTCTCAAAAAAAAAAAAAAAAAAAAAAAAAAAAGGTTGTACTAGTATGTGGCTAGAAAGGCACTTTCACGGATCAAATTGGAGCTCCTAAAAGCAGAACTAGATAGGAATGAGAGCTTTGGCTATTGTAACCATGAGCTTCAAATCAGTGGGGCGCTGGGTGACTTGGCAAGAGTGGTGGGACTGCTGCCTGTCCACCTACCAGCCAGATCCAGGCCCTGCCTCTTTGCCGCACCCGAACTCCCACAGAACCAAGGCTGAGAAGTGAGATAAATAAAATCACTGGGTAGAAAGTAGCGATGTTTCTAGACTCTTTGAGTGGCAAAGCTTTTCCTATCAAGACACAGAACATAGAGTCGTAAAGAAAAATGTGACAAAGAAAATGTGATAAAGAAAAATGAGTTTGTGTAGAAGGAGCACCTGGGGGGAAACATGCCACAGTACCCAGCAGCCCAAGGGCTAATTTCTTAATAGGTAAGAGTTCCAAAGAACTTGTCAGTAGGAAATCTCAGAGAACATGCCCATGAGCTGCACATTCACAGAATAAAACATAATGATGTATTAATAAATGAAAAGGTATTCAACCTTGCTTTGTAAATTAAATTTACACTTTGACAGTGCACTTACAGTAGCAGCAATGTAATTCATCATCCACACTGAGGGTAGGAACAGTGCCTTCAACCTAGTACTGCCCCCTCTGAACTCACACTCACATTGAACGTGACGTATCTACCAAGGTTTTCATTGCAGCACTGTTCATTGTACCAAAAGACACAAAATGATCTAATGCTGCATCATCTGCAGACTGAAGTAAACTGATACATCCCCACTAAGGAATACTACACAGCAATACAAAAGAGCAAGGCTGTGGATGCTTTGTATGACATATTGTAGGGTGAAAAGGCAAGGGTAGAGGCAGGGCCAAGGTGTCAGTTGAGGGCTTTTATGTGCACAGAGGATCTTGCTGAAGAATTAGAAACCTGTTACCAGCGTTTGCATCTGGGGAAGGAGGAACACTTTTCACTTTATGCTTGCCCATTTGAATTTGTATTCTGTAGTATCTAATTTTTCAGTGGGAAAGGTCATTAAGGAGAAAAGCTCATTAAAACAGGACCTTATTATTTTAAATTTGTTTTCAGTAATAAGTGATACCATTCATGTTTATATGTTATTTGCATTTCGTTTTCTGTGAACTCCTTGTTTGTCTTTATCCAGTTTTTGTTTGTTTGTTTTGGATTGCTGCTCTTAATTGGCGTGACAGGTAGAGTTTTTAATACCATAAGAACATTAGCCCTTTGATCAGCATCACCCAATTTAGAGAACCCTCAGATTGGAGAAGGCCGCAGAAGGCCCTCTGACTGCTCCTTTGGGCCACAGTGCTTTTGCCCTGTCTTGAAGCCAACTGGGAAGGAGAGGCACAGTCTCACCTCAGCTGTTCCTCTTGTGGTTTTTTCTTCTACCTGTAGCTTTAAGCTCATTCTTTCGTACGATACGTTCAGTCCATTTCTTCTTTCTCTTCTCTGACATCTTCTGTAAAATCTCTCCTGAGACTTGAAGTCAGTCATTCATTCAGAAAAGAAGAACTTCCTTTGGTGGTGGGGGAGGGAGTGGGGTGTGCTGTGCTAGGGATTGAACCCAGGTCCTTTGCGCGGAGCTACATGCCCAGCCCTTGTTCACATTTTATTTTGAGACACGGTCTCACTTGGGCACAAACTTGTGAGCCTCCTGCCTCACCCTCCCTAGAATGTAAAAACTTCTTAAGAGTTTCTTAAACTTCCGTATCTTAAACTGAAGATACGGAAAATTGCTGCCCGAGAGTGCAGCAGACAGGTACCCATAACACAGGGTAGGAATCTGCCAGGTGGAGCAGTGTGTTGTGGGGACACAGGGTATTGGCCTCAGCTCTCCCGAGGGGTCAGGGTTGCTTACACAGTATGTAGGAGGGGAAGTGCGAATGTACAGCAGTGTTCGTTGGCCATCTCACCCAGTAACATATGTCACTTCCTTCCTTGCGTCACTTGTGCTGGGGCCTCTGTTTGTCCTTTCTCTCCTGGTGACCTTAACTGATTTCTTGACTTTCCCAAAGTACTGAGAGTGCTAAGTGTATCTCTAGCCCAGACCTTCTCTACACTGGAGATGCTCCTTGTCACTTCTACTTAGCCAGACACCTTCAGCATGACAAGCCCAAAGCAGAGCTCTTGATTTTTGCTTTTTCAGCTCCTCTCCCACAGTCGCTTCTGTCGCAATAAATGAAATCACTGTCTGTCCAAGTGCTCCAACCAGTAACTTGAAGGTCACCTTTCCTCTGCTCCATGCCCTTCACCTCCTTCAACCAAACCATTCTTAAGCTCTCTTGGTTACGCTTGTCATTTTTTTCTGCCTCCCCCACTTTTCGGTGTAGGCGTGAGGGTCACACCCAGGGTCTTGCACATGCTTAGCCAAGCGCTCTACCACTGAGCTACACTCCCGACATCCCTACAATACCCCAACTCCCGACAGTTCCCTACCTCAGTATCAATGCTCCTGTCTAAGCTGCTACCTTCTCTTACCTGGACCATCCTGGAGGTGTCCTAGCTGGTGTCCCTCCGGGATTCAGTCAACACATATTTGCAGAGTACCTTCTGTCTGTTACTAACAGCACCACAGAAGTGTATGATCTCATAGCCGATAAACGTTACAAAGGGCTGGAGTTTCCTGGGTAGTGAGGGTCTGTGTCCTGACTTAGTCAGAACAGGAATGGCTCCCCCACAGTGTGATCCCTGAGCTGAGTCCGTAAGGATTCCCAAGAGAGAAAGGGCTATAGGCAAAGGACACAGTGCAGCAAGCCCTCCATATCTGTGGGACCTGTGTCTATGGATTCAACCAAGCACAGATTGAAAAAATTGTTAGCTGCATCTGTACTGAACATATACAGACTTGTATTTCTTCTTATTATTCCCTAAGCCATCTAACACAAAAAGTTCTCACATAGCACTTACATTGTATTAGGTGCTAGAAGTAGTCTAGAGATGATTCAGGGTACACAGGGGCATTGCATAGGTCACACGCAAGTAATATACCATTTATAGAAAGGGTTTGCGCATCTTCTGATTTTGGTACTCATGGAGTGAGTGGATCCTGTGACCCATGGATACCGAGAGATACCTGTATATTCCTAGCGGGAGGAGAGCAGAGTGAGCGGGGGTCCTGGTGTCCAAGGGGTGGGCATGCGGCCAGCCACAGAGTCAGCTTTTTTACCACAGACTTAGTGGGAGTGGTGGGAGGCACTATGTGGAGAGGCACTTGTTCTTTCCTTAGATCTCTACTAAATTTCCTAACATTTCTACATCTTTCCTAACATCTCTACTAAATTTTCTTTCCCACTCAGAGAGAACCATCTTGGACCTTTGTGCCAGATTCCCACCAAAACCTCAGTCCTTCTAAACTGATAACCTTACCTCCCACTGGAGAAAAGAGCAATAATCATACGAGAAATAACTGTACTGTACCTTCCATTACCAAGCCACCTCCTGGCCTCCTGAACTGTATCTGCCAGCAAGTGTGAGAGAAGCACCTTCCTCCTGCTCCTGGGTCCTGCGCACCCTTCCCTCCTGTCTGCTTTAGTCCTGTGCTTCTTCAGCATCTCCCATCCCACATCATTTTGGCCACCTCTCTGTAGGGTTCTTGCCATCAGTCTATAAATAGGCACATGACCATCTTTTAAAAATGGTCCCCGCAGGACCCCATATCTCCCTCATTTCTTTCTCTCGTAGCCAAACCTCTTATAGAAGTTATTCATGCTTATTGTCACTTGCTTAACTCATTCTGCTAAAAAGGCTAACTACCCACCACATGTGGTTATAGAGCACTTGAACTGTGGCTAGTATGATTGAGGGACTTAATTATTAATTATGTTAAACTTTAATTGATTTAAACACAGTAGTCTCGTGTAGCCGTCAGTGGCTACCATTTTGGATGGCACAACCTTAAGGATTATAATTGCATTATCTTAAAATCCGGGTTAAAAATCAAAGATGGGGTCCCCACCTGTGAGTTAGGGTCTAGTTAGAAGCTAAGATTCTTGAAACTTCACCTGGTAGATTTCCAAGCTATTTGGCTCCTGTATGCTCTTCCTCTGTGTTTGCAGAAAGCCAGCACAAGGAACTGGGGGAGAGAGGGGCAATCCCCTACCCACCTTGTATTTATGGCTGTCGGCAGAGCCTCTGGGTCCCAGACCCATTCTCCCATTGCCCATGTCCACTGAGAGCCTGCCAGGAATCACAAAGTAACTGGCCAGGAAAGCTTGGTCCCCGGCCTGTAGCTCATCTTCACATAGTGACCTCCCTAGGCGAAGACTTTGAGAGCTAATCAGGAGATAGATGAGGAAATGGATGTGGGTACTTTAAAAAATCTGTGTATTAAGTCAGAGTGATTCACCTGGGGAGAACTTTATTCCCTTCTCATGTCTGTATAGGAAGAAAGTTAACATTTGATGCTAGCTCTTCAAATTCTCATTAATACTTCTTAATCTTTCTTTATTGTAAAGACAGTCTCAGAGGTCTCATAGGTGCAGAACAACATCCAGTCAGAATTTAATATGGTTGTGTCATATTCCATTTTATAGCCACCTTCAAGTAGTAGCAGTTTTCCGTTTACGGTAATAATACGAAATTTCCTTTTTAAATGTGTTTGCATTTTTAAAGAGTTGGTTTAGAGAAAAATATTAATAGTTCAAGTGACATTTGGACCTAGCAAAAATCATGTTGCAATTCATAAGTACCCCGAATCTGGGAAATGCTGCCTTAGAAATGGACCTGCAAGTCTGATGGGTCCATATGTTTGCAAGACTGGCCATTTCTTAAGCAAAACTAGCCCTTGCCTAGCACGGCTGTCGAGGTCTGGTGCCTATCTTCATCCTGTTTCTCATCCCAAAGGTTCGTTTACCAAGCAAAAGTCGGGGGCCGTTGGTTTCCAGCTGTCTGCGCACATAGCAAGAAGCAAGGCAAGCAGGAAGCAGCCGACGCGGCCCTCCGTGTCTTGATTGGGGAGAACGAGAAGGCAGAACGCATGGGTTTCACAGAGGTAACCCCAGTGACAGGGGCCAGTCTCAGAAGAACTATGCTCCTCCTCTCCAGGTCCCCAGATGCACAGCCAAAGACAGTTAAGACGTCTACTTTTGGTGCTCTCTTTTCTGGGGGGAGGGGTCCTGCAGCTCCTATCTGAGTAGAGTTGGCGGTCACTGCTGTCATGTGAATTGCTCCTAGGCATTAGCACTAGCCACGATGCAGCATATAACGGGGACACTAGAGGTGAGAAGGGAAAGATGACTCACAGTCCAGTAGACTGTGACTTCCCGCCCACTGTGAAATATGGTGGACATGGTCCTGGCTGCATGGCCCTGACACCGCCCCCTGTCCCCACAGCTTCCGCTCACTGGCAGCACCTTCCACGACCAGATCGCAATGCTGAGCCACCGGTGTTTCAATGCCCTCACCAACAGTTTCCAGCCGTCCTTGCTCGGCCGGAAGATCCTGGCTGCCATCATCATGAAGAAAGACTCTGAGGACATGGGTGTCGTGGTCAGCTTGGGGACAGGTGTGTGTTCCCTCAGGGGCTGGAAGCAAGTCCTCAACCCCTGCTAGAGTCCATGTGATTAGCCCGAGGCAGGGGCAAAAGACTCATTTCACGCAGTTAGCCGTACCTGTGCGCCAGTGTGATGGCACAAAATGTTGGTGAGCTCTGCGCAAATATTCCAAAACCTGAAAAGCTCTGAAATCTGAAGCACCTGGTTCCAAGCATTTTGGATAAGGGATGCTTAACCTCTACTTCGTTTTAGCTGCAGTCAGCTCGTGAGATCTCGGATCAGTTGGGACTGGCCCTGCCTTCAGGCCTTAAGAACATGTAGCCTCACGCCGCTCGCCGGCGTTTTCCTCTGATTATTCCATTCCGCTTTAACCGTCTTCCCAGGGAATCGCTGTGTGAAAGGAGATTCTCTCAGCCTGAAGGGAGAAACTGTCAATGACTGCCACGCAGAAATTATCTCCCGGAGGGGTTTCATCAGGTGAGCGAGGTTAGAGCGGCCCCTTAGCCTGGCAATATTCCAGGCACCTCCTGCCTGGCTGCCCCTTGGCCCACAAGAGCACCCTGGCTCCTGACCATGCCTCCCTGCACCCAGCAGACTGAGACCTTGCCTGGCCATGCGCACCCTTTGCCTTTAGCCCAGACTTTATGTGTGTATGTATGTATTCTTCCTATGTCTCCCCATTCACAATACAGACAAGGCGCAGGCCTGGGCTGAGGTGTATGTGGGGCGGGTTTACTCTTCCTCCTTTTTCTATACAGTCAGCGTGAGGACACTGCGTGTGGGAAGCACCAGGAGGCACAGACCAGACTTCGGAAGCTCCCCTAGCCAGTAGATCCTCTCTCACCTGGCTGCATCCACTCCTTAGCCTGCTTCTAAGTCTCTTTCTGCTAACACTGCTTTGTGCCCTTTTTTCAAAACTCAAAATGGCCCTGGGGATGAGGGAGCCTTCCATCTCCGTTTGAGAACCTGTCAGGACACTCTGCCCACTGTCTCCTCTGGCTCACCTTGTCTGCACTGTATGACGGGAGGAGCTCGGAGAAGCAGCCGCCTCCTGTAAGCCTTCGGTCCGTTTCCTCTGAAATCTCCGTAACCGCCATAGCGAGGTCCCCTCCACAGAAGTGAAATGGACTGTTGCACCGTGCACCGCTGAGGCCCCATCCCTGGAAGTCTGCTCCGGGTGGCTTCCCTTCCTTGGGGCTCAGTGGAGTCAGGTCATCGAGGCACAGGCTGCTCTCCCCGGAATGGGACCTGCCTTCCTGACCACACTTTGTTTCTGCAGGTTTCTCTACAGCGAGCTAATGAAATACAACTCGCAGACGGCGAAGGATAGTATATTTGAGCTTGCTAGGGGAGGAGAAAAACTCCAAATAAAAAAGTCTGTTTCCTTTCATCTCTATATCAGGTCTGTAGCACCTTTGCTGCTGCCAGAGCAGGCCCCACCAAGCCCCCAGGGGTGGGTCCCCACATCGTCCTGGCCACTAAACCTGACCTCATCCAGTAGCCCACACCCCCGACTCCCACACACTCTGCCCCCTGGTCCCACGGCAGCCTCAGGCAGTGCTCCTGGCTTTCACCACAGCCTCCTGTGAGCCCCAGAACGGTGGAGGGAAGGTGGGCTGGTGAGCGGGGCGGGAGCTTGTTTAATGGACAGCCCTGTGTTGCAGCACTGCGCCGTGTGGAGACGGCGCTCTCTTTGACAAGTCCTGTAGCGATCGGGCTGTGGAAAGCACAGACTCCCGCCACTACCCTGTCTTTGAGAACCCCAAACAAGGCAAGCTCCGCACAAAGGTGGAGAATGGTGAGTGACACGCAACCTCCTTCCATCCCGCAAGCAGTTTGCGGGGTTTGCCTTGGGGCACCGAGCAAGGAGGAAGACCCGGGCGGGGAGGCCTGCGGGCGAAGGGAGTTTCCATCTTGAAGATGTGAGTTTAAGGGCTTGGCCAGTCGGGTCTCAGCACAGAGGGTCTGGCTGGAAACATAAGCGTGAGAATCATCCTTCTGGGGTGTCTGCACGGCCGAGGGATGCACAGAAGAGGCAGGGCCGGGCTGGCAGAAGTGACATCGAGGGTCTGGTGCTCGTGTCCTGTTGGCTTCAGTGCTGCGCCCTGCCCACCAGCTCCTTCGCCTCTCCTGCCTCCCGCCACCCCTCTGTCTCCTCACGTCACTGCTGTTCCCGCCACACTTCAGCAGCCATCTGAGTGGTCCTCGGCCATAGATCATGTCACCTTCCTGCTGAGCACCCTAAAGTGCTGGTGGCGAAACTATGGCACGTGTGTTGTTTTTCTTTTGAAGTAAAAGATGTTAATGAGTTGCTTTTTCTAAACTAAAACTTCATTATTCAGCTTTAGTTGCAGTCTTGGCACATTGCAATAAATAAGTGAGTTTTAGGTTGCAGTTAGGGCACTTGGTCTCTAAAAGGTTCGCCATCACTGACCTAGGGTATAAGTTTATGCCCCAGCAGCTCATTCCTAGGAGGGTACCAGAAAAACAAATCTGACCACACAAAACTGGTCCAGGAATATGGATAGCAATATCCATCCCTTGATGAATGTGTCAATATAGTACAACACATCCATACATGGAATACTCTGTGGCCGTCAAAAGAAATGAAGTATTCATGTACAGCATGATGAATCTTGAAAATGCTATGCTGAATGTAAAGAGCCAGTCACTAAAAATCACATAGTCTATGATTCCATTTGCATACAATGCCCAGTAAGAGAGATCTGTAGAGACAGGAAGTCTGTTAGTGGTTGCCGAGCACTGGGGCTGGAGAAAAGTGGAGAGTAGGTAGAAGGTATTCTTGAGGGCTGATAAAATGTTCTGAAATTGATTGTACTGATGGAAACACAACTATGAATATACTAAAAATCACTGAATTTTAGGTCTTAAATAGGTGAATTATATGGTATATACATGTATGTCAAAGCTGTTACTATTTTAAAAACAAAAATAAGAACACAAACATCCTGTTATAGTTTCCCACTGCACTTTCCAGAAGGGCAGACCCTGCCATGACCTCAGCCTCCCCCACCCACACCACCCTTCCTCTCCTGCACGGGCACTGCAGGTGCATCTGCTGTCTCATCAGCCCCTTTAGGCCTTAGGGCCTTTGCTCCTGCTGTTCTCTGGGTCGGTGACACTCCAGCAGTTCCTTCTCTGTGATGCCCCACCTGCCCCAACTCTCCTGCCCAGGAGATTTTCCTGCGTGCCCTCCAGCATAGCTCCCTCAAATGCTTCAGAGCGCCGAGCATCTAGGAGTCCTGCAGATGGAAGGTCTGCTTGTTTTGGGTGTCTTCCAGTCCCTTTCTGGCCCTCACCGTGTAAACATCGAAGGAGGACTAGGATCTTAGTGAAGTTTACTCATGATCACTGTTGCCCAGCCCCAGACGTGGTGCACGGCCTACAGTAGATGCCCGGGAGTGGTTTGGTCCTTGGATCTCTCTGGCTCTGACCCAGGTCTCTCCTGCAGGAGAAGGCACAATCCCTGTAGAGTCCAGTGACATTGTGCCTACGTGGGATGGCATTCGGCTCGGGGAGAGACTCCGTACCATGTCCTGTAGTGACAAAATCCTGCGCTGGAACGTGCTGGGCCTACAGGGGGCACTGTTGACCCACTTCCTACATCCTGTGTATCTCAAATCTGTCACACTGGGTAAGGGGCCTACTTGGAACTGGAGCCCATCTGCCCTTCTTGGCCCAATCCCAGCAGACTACGTGCTCCATCGCCAGGTGTTGATAAGACGCCTCCCCTTTGCAAAGCGAACTTGGCTCAGTAAGCAGTAATGGTTCTGAGAGCCCAGTCTGCACAGGTAGGAAGGCGTGCCAGGCGGTCTTTCCCAAGCTGCGCTAAAGAAACCAGCCACTTAGAATCGCGGGGTCTTTGCTCCTTTGCCCTCCCCAGACTGGGTCTTACCTGGAATCTTCTATTTAAATATGTTACGGTCACACTTAGGTCCTGGGGAGCCACAGTTACTTCTCTGTCTTACCTCTCTTTCGTGCCTTGGGACTCCCCACGCGCCTCTGCCTCTTGTTAGATCTGGTGCAAACACGGGTATATACATTTCTTTCTCTGTACCCAGGTTACCTTTTCAGCCAAGGGCATCTGACCCGTGCTATTTGCTGTCGTGTGACAAGAGATGGGAATGCGTTTGAGGATGGACTGCGATACCCCTTTATTGTCAACCACCCCAAGGTGCTCCAACCCCATTCTGTTTTCTCTTGGCTTTTTCTTCTTTTTAAGCAATCCCATCAGCAGAGAAAAAGTGTGTGCTGTGGGCAAGGGGAGTCTTGTTGGTGCACCAAGAGCTTACTCTTTCCTCCTTTAGTCTGGAATTAGACTGAATTGCTGTAGAGTCAGTATGTGTAGCATCCGCTTGGTCATAGCCAAACACATGCTAAATAAAGGGGGAAGGATCGTAGCCCCATGTGCCCTCTTTTCTGTGAGTCTTGAGTCCCTCCTTGCAAACTGTATCCCTGAAGGGGTTCTCTCCCGCTTTGTTCGGAATCTAGGTGGGCCGAGTCAGTGTATATGATTCCAAAAGGCAATCCGGGAAAACTAAGGAGACGAGCGTCAACTGGTGTTTGGCTGACGGCTACGACCTAGAGATCCTGGATGGCACCAGAGGCACCGTGGACGGGTGAGGAGGGGGGAGGGCACCGGAGAAGTGGGCTGAGCCCCCGGCCGCCCGTCTGCAGAGCTTAAGGGCCGCCTCTCTCCCGTGGCTCTTCCACGTTGGCTCCTGCCGCTGCTGACCCAGATGAGTAACAAGTGCTTTTGTCCCCAGGCCACGGAATGAACTGTCCCGGGTGTCCAAGAAGAACATTTTTCTTCAGTTTAAGAAGCTCTGCTCCTTCCGTTACCGCAGGGATTTACTGAAACTCTCCTATGGTGAGGCCAAGAAAGCTGCCCGTGACTACGAGATAACCAAGAACTACTTCAAAAAAGGCCTGAAAGACATGGGCTATGGGAACTGGATAAGCAAACCCCAGGAGGAAAAGAACTTTTATCTCTGCCCAGTGCCCAATGACTGAGGGCCCTGGGCTTGCACTAGTGAGAGGGAGGTCGTAGCATTCCGCGAATTCCTCATCACATTGGTCAGGACTTTTACCGCTGTTTTTGTTTTTACGGTTTTGTTTTTTTGTTTTGTTTTGTTTTGTTCTAAATGGAGTCATCATTGCTGGTACTGAAGACTGTGGATTCCCATTTACCCTGCTTTCTTGGGAATGTCCAGGCAGGGCCTAGTCAGGCTTCTGTCTCTTTTCCCAAGTAAAGAAGCAGAGGAAGGAAAAAGGGTTTATCGTTCCACCCAAAGCATACACAGTCACCAAGCACCTGATGCCCACTTCCCCTTAGGCTTTGTTTTGGTCTTTTCCATTTCCTTTTCCTTTGCGTTTGCTACACTGACCTCTTGCGGACTTGATTAGGTTCCAGTCAGTTCTCTGCAAATCATGTCAGGAACTCATGGTTTCATTCATGGGCTCCGCAGGCCCCTGTGCTTCCCCTTCTGAGCGTCCTTCCTGTGATCATCGAGTTTCGCTCTCCCACCCCAGAGGGTAACGAGGTGAGCTGGAGGAGTGTGATGCCATGTGTACAAGGGCAGGAGTTGAAAGCTGCAGTCAGCTAATGAATGGCCAGCGCCAATGGAAGTGTGATTAGCATCTGCAGATCCTGCGCAGTGGTGAGATCCTGCCCTTCAACCAGCTGAGGGAAGCTGCTGCCCGGGAAGTGCGTCCCTTCCTTCCCAGGGAAGCTGAGAGCCAGCCACAGTGGGCAAGGCAAGTTGCCCAAGCAGTAACTAAGGTTTCCCCTGCAGGGTAGCACAGACATTCCTCGGAGCACTGCCAAGCTCCCATCTGCCCTTCTAACGCATTCCTAGGAATAGGCCCTGCCTGTGCAGAGGGGGAGGGCTATAGACCTCAACCAGCTGCTAGGAGAAAATCCAGGACAAATCTTAGAGGGCAAATCATCTCTGCTCAGATGGTCAGGACTTAGTAAGAACAAAGGCAGAAAAATCATGTTCGGTCAGATCACTGTTCCATCGGGTATAATATTTCTTGAGGCATGGGTACCAAGGGAAGTTGACTAAGCCATGTGTAAATTAAGAGTTTTTAAAAAGAATGCCAGAGATGTTGATTCTTTGCCTTGGTTGCACTGATGTAAAATTCAGATGTACTTTTTTTTCCCCATTCATCCAAGTGTTTTCATTTAGCTGTGGCTTTGGAAGCTGGTGTGCAGGGCACAGGCCTGGGGTCCTCCTGCCTCCTGTCCGGGAGACAGCATTTGCAGGTGAAAGGGCAGGTTGTCCTCAACTCTGGGGACTCCTTTGTGTACACCTCCGCCCTACTTGAGGCTGTGATCAGAACCTCAAGGCCTGGGAAGGGTCAGCGTCTGGGGCTCCGTCAGCCTGGTGTGCTCAGGAGGACTGCCGAGCCCTGCTTCCTCTCAGCCCAGACTGCCACTGTGCTCTGGATGACGTCTGCATCTGGGATTGGGCTGCCCCTGGGCCCTCACACGATTTTTGGTGTTTCCCCCGCACCCCACAGGCTGCTGTCTGGTCCGCCCACCTCTGCAGCCGTAGATACGCCCTAGTTTGCCCTTTCATTGTGGCTACTTACAGTCTGTACCTAGGACCAAAAATTGACCAAAACACACGTTTTTAAAATATACTGAGGTCGCCTTTGCAGAACACAAAAGCATCCCCAGGGGCTGGTGGAGAGTTTGTGCCTGTCTTTGGCACGGAAGAGGCTTGCGCCCTGGCTTTGTGTGTATCGCCAGCTTGGAATATTAGCTGAAGGCACATTAAATCAGTCCTGGCAGCTGCCTCTGGGGAAAATCAGTGTGGTGGGCCCAGCCGTTGGGAGGAGGCTTCTCCCCTGGGTTCTTCGGGCTAGAGGCTGCTGGTATCTCAGGGTGTTTGGCCTGTGGTCCTCTTGGGCATTAGAGTCTCTGGCAGAGCCCTGACTCAGCTGCCTTTGCTTTCCTGAAGGGCACAGGGGCTCTCGGAAGGTCAGAGCTCCTGGAGCTTATCTAGCTAACTTGCAGTATTCTGTTTCTGCTGTGGGAAAGAGCAAGGCATCCCCACATCCCGCACACCTGCTGGAAAGGAGCCGTGTCAGGCCCCACCCCGCCACACCCCTAAGCCGCCCCAGTCACAGGACAGGCAGAGCTTCTCCCCAGTGTTCACTTTCTGTCCAGTCTTTGGTTTCCAGAAGCAGGGCCCACTCCCCCTTTCTTTTTAATGGTTTTGTAGTGCAGTCTGTGAATAATCACTTGTCAGCGCTTGAAGCTGTTTCCTTTACTCCAGTTGAAGGGACTTCGTTGGCTTCGGGGTCTTGGCAGTGACCCCAAGAGCAGAGCGGGGAAGAGCCCAAGCATAGCCTTGGCGCCATGATGGCTGCAGTCCAGTTTTATGATTCTGCTTTTTGTGCTCCTTGATTCTAAAAATATACATTCCTCATGAATAAAAACGAAGATAAATCTAAATTGTTAGAAAGCTTTGAATCTTGGTTTTGTGGGGGAGGCAAAAGTGGGGACAGAGGACCTGTGGTCCTGGGTTTTGGGGTAACATCACCAGCTGCATCTGACAGAACTTGGGGAGAAGGTCATCCCTCCACATGCAGAAAAGCCGCTCTGAAGAGCCTTGCTGGGCAGGTGGGCTGCTGTGGGTGCCGTGGGATCCATCAGGCACCTCGTGTTGTTTTCCCAGCTCCACACCCCCGACCAGAGCCCACCATGAAATACGCTGTCCCCTGGGACTTAGTACGCAGGATTTCAAGGCCCAGAATAGAAAGAGGACCCTGAGCCTCGTGCTCTCTCTCAGGGCCGTTTCTACCCCTTCCCAGCTGTTTTGCCTGCGAGGATATGTGCTTAGAGCTGCAGCTGGGACCAGGACAGGCTTAGCTGCAGTGTAAAAAGACAGCGCTTTGGTTTCTCACTTCATAGCATTGAAATCTTTATCTTGAATTTCATCTGTCTTTCCACACTGTAATTTACTCCAGAATTTCTGGAAGAGCCGTCCTTGGCCTTCTAACATTGCTGTCACACCAGTGGAGAAGCTAAGTCACTATGAAGCTGTCCTCCTCCTGATACAGATGGGACAGCAGGGTCCTGGAGAGCCAGGGACGTGTTTGGGAGCAAAACATAAGCAGAACTCCACAGTCTGCTGAAATAATGTTGGAACTGAGCAACCTTTAAAGGCTGTGGAGAATGCCCCTGGCTTGATGTCCCAGGAACCCAAGTGCCTCTGTCCTCAGGCAGTTCCTGGTTCCAGTGGAGGGAAATGCAGCGCCAAAGTCCTTTAGGAAGTGGGCAGTGCCCTGGGCTGAGGGTGCAGCTCGGGGGAGAATGCGTGTTCAGCTAGTGCTGGAGGAAGTGGGTGGTTCCTCGCCCAGCCGGCCGGCAGGAAGCAGGCCCACCCTGCCCTCCAGTTGCTGTTCACCGTGCACTTTCTCATTTCAGGGCTCTGCATTTTATTTTTTGCAGTGCTGGGTGTGGAACGTAGAGCCTTGTGCTAAGCATGCGCTCTCCCCCCAAGCTGTATACTCAGCCCCACAGTTTAATGTCATTTTCAAGATAGGGGGCTTGATGAAACCAGTGTTCTTGGAGCATCCTGCAGACTTGGCCTCCTGGAGTCTCCCCAGAGGCCATTTCTGGGCTCTGTCTATCCTAGGCCCACCCACTTGGCCACTTCCATTCCATCTGATGAATGGGTTTGTAAGGCAACAAACAATCACTCAACAGCGGACCATTACCACTCATCTTTTCTTTGCATTTGTATGATGCCTTTGACACCTTGCAGATGCAGTTTCTCCAGCACTCTTCCTTTTTACCCCGTTTGCCAACACTGGCCCATGAGAATCCCTGCCCCACCACCACGTATCCCCCCAATACAACAGCATGACAACATCTTTGGAAACAATTTTCTTAAGAGAACCTTGAGTTCCTAGTGAGTCCAGCTGGAGTGGCTAGTCCCGTGGTGCTAGTCTTGGAGTGCAGACGGGAGGCCAAGGGCAGTGTGAGGAGACCAGCACCGAGGGTGTGTAAGTGAGGTGTCCTACTGATTCCTAGAGCGATGGTCCCTTAGGGACACTGTGACTATCATGAGGACTCCTTAGACCTGCCGGGATAACTACTGGAAGGGGGCTTGCCCATTCTGTCTGGTTAGGGCCAGTGAGGGGAGGCAGCCAGCACTGCCTGGGCTGTGAGGGGTGGTAAGACACCAGCCTGCTTCTGCCTGGACTGAGTCACTGTGGCCTGGGAATGATGCAGACAGGCCCCAGATGCCCCTTACTTTCCTCTGTAAGAGTTCTCTTCCTGCCTGTCCCGAAGGTCACAGTGAGAGCCCACACTTTGGGGCAGCCTTGGGCTCTAAGCGCAGCACTATTCACCCGCTGTCACCTGGCCCCTCCCCGCAAGGGCTGTGGTGAGGAAGGAAAACCATGCCTCGGAGAAGACGGCACAGAGCACACGCTCAGGACATGGCAGCAAATCCTGGGGTTTGGAGAGGCCAAAAACTGGCCAAGGGCCAGAGCCCCCAGATCGTCCTGTGTCCCGGGGGAAGTGGTTCTGCCCTTTTGTGGAGAGCCTTCCTTGCAGAGCACACATTGAAGGGGTTGGGGTGCTGCCTCACTGCCAGGAAGCTGCCCCCCTCAAGCTGTGGTGCCAGCTCTCAAAAGCACAGCCAGAAAGCTGTGTGTGCCATCTTTTCAAAGATGGCTATCAAATAACTACTCTCGCCATCTCTGATGATAAGTCCTCTCCGCACTGTCCCCTCCCAGGCCCCGGGGCCAGATTTCCAGCCAGTTTCTCTCCTCCCTCTTCGTATCTGGAGCCACCTTCAGCCCGGCACTGTCTGTCCAGAGCCAGCCCCACCTTGGGAAGGAGGCAAAGGGCCTCCCTGACATCACAAAGGAGAACGTAGAACCCAAAAGTGGGACTGCGGTTCTCCAAAGCTTCCCGGTGCGCACGCACTGGCGCCTACCTCCTACGCGTGCTGGCCTTCCTCTGTACTGTGGTAGTCCCCAAAGGGCTGTACTCGAATGGAAGGAGGCTGCCCAGTAACCTTTCTCCATCGCCCCTACTCCTTCCCTGCTGTACCCCTGCCCACTGTCATTCCCACCGAACGGACGCAGAACAGCATGCTCAGGGGCACATAAACGCCTCAGTTTCCCTGTGTGTTAAATGAGACACAGAAGTTGGACACACTGCTCTCTAACGTCTCCTCTAGCGCCTCCTGGTGACAAACTTGGACAACAGCCACTAGTGGGTGGTGGTAAAAGCAGCTGATGGGGCCCCCAGCCAGCAGTCCCCTTCAGAGACAGACTTCCCTTCTGGTTGCTATTGCCAGTTCCAGCCATTCCCCGGACTCTGAGCTAGCAGTAGGCCTACACATGATCCAGGCACTCCTCAACTCGGCTCTAGAAGAGGGCATCTCCGTGGTGCAGGGACACTCCCCGCCACCAGGAAGAAATGCCCGCGTGTCCACTCAGCACTGGGGAAGCGCTGAGCTGCCATTCCACAGCCAGGTCTAGATCTCCCACCCCAGCACGCCCCTGTGCCAGGGGGAGGCAGGGCCAGCGCAAGGGCCGCCAGGAGGGAAGCCCGGCCCCGCAGACCCACTAGGGATGCCCTGTGCTGGGCCCCTGTTTGGCAGACAGCTTGCTCAGGGAAGAGAGGGGGTAATGCGGCCTGCAGAGGAGGTGGCACACCAGCCAGGCGGCCCCATACCGTGGGTTCTGATGGCCTCTCAACCTCAACATTCATGAAGCAACTACTCTGTGGAAGGTACAGCGATAGACTTTCACAAGCATCCTTCAGCCTCACTGCAGCCCCAGGGAGGGCACATGCCTCTCCCTGTTTTATAAACGAGGAGGCTGAGGCCTAGCCAGACTTGACTGGCTTAATGAGACAGTAGCAGAACTGGGCCTGGAACCCGGCCTCCAGGACTCGTCCAATGCTCTTTGCCCGCACGGTGTTCTCCTCTGCCTGTCAGCATGGTCTCCCACGTCCCCTGTGCTTGGAGAAGCAGCAGTCCCCTCCGGGCTCAGGACACAGGACAGCCTGTGTCGGGTCAGATCTCCTGGGTACACCTGGTTGACTGCTCCCTCTGAGAGCACCAGGCATATGGTGGGCAGAACCCTAACAGTCTGTGTCCTGGGCTTACCAGCCAAGGGGCCTCTGGTGGGTCCCTGGGAGCTGCCTGCAGGGCCCCAGGATAGACAGCTGAAGTGCTGCTTCCCGGGAAGTCACTGGTGGCAGCAGACGTCACCTGAGGTCCGATTCCAACCTGCTCAGGTTTAGTTGGGGAGGGAGGCATGAGCAATGCAGATGCCCCAAGTCCTGGCGACATGTCCCCTGTTCTGCTAGGCCCCACTGCCCAGCCCAACTCTGTTGTGGACAGAAAGGCCAGGTCTGCCTGAAGCTGACATCCTCACTCGCTGTCCTTCCAGCAGCCAGTCAGTTCAAAGTGGGGGAAAGGGCACTGCACAGATAGATGGTCCTCAGGGTGGGGAGGAAGTGTCTGAGCTGTTCAGCCTTGTGGCACCTTCTGGGCCTGTGTCCTTGTTATGTAAGTACTCCGCACTAACCCACCGCTCAGTTGGGTGTTTCTTCATTTGAACACGGCTCCTGCTGGAATCCATGACTGCAAAACGTTCTTCCAGCTCCTACGGGCTGCGAACTTGCACTTTTCACACAGTTCAGTATTTGGGCCTCAGACCCCAAGTGGGTCACTTAGAGGCACAGAACTCAGAGAGCCAGCCTTGCCCACCACTCCCTGAGCCAGAGTGAAAAAGGGACGAGAGGGAAGTCGGGATGCACAGAACTCATCATCGGGCAGAAGGGACCCGGGCTGTGCTCTGCACCCCTCAGAGGCACAGCGCTGTGGGACCGAGCCGGAAGCCTCTCTAGGAGTTGGGCTGCGGGTCCAGGCTAGGCCCTCTGGCAGGACCCGCTATCACTGTGAGCTGTGGCCCAATGAGGTGGAGTGGAAGCCAGGTCACATCCAGCTCCTCTCCTCTGCTCTACCCCTTGTGTCAGCCAGGCCAGCATAGAGTTTGAGCTCCTCTCCCTCTTCCCCTCCCTGACACTCCATTCTCCCATGACGTGGAGGCCTTGAGTCCTTCTGTCCTTTCTGGGCCTCTTTCGATCAACCTGCTTGGGGTGGGAAGCTCCAACATTTCTGTCCCCACCTCGTAGCCTTCGTTTTCCTCCACCACCACCATTGTCTGGTTGGCAAAAGGAGAGGAAAGCAGCCAAACGCTGTGAGCTGGCCCTTTCCTCCAGGCTGTGTGGATGGAGGTGTGGGGGAGGTGAAGCAAGAGGACGGATCTGTGAGGGCAGCACCCCTCTTCCTGGAAGCTTGCTTGTCCATCCTCCACCCGACACTACTGTACGACAGGGGCAGAGGGGTGCCGGAGGGTGGAAGTGAGCCAGGTCTCACTTAGAGCTGGGAGCTGCATGGTCCGGGTGGAGGAAGGTGGTGGCGGTGTAGTTCTGGAAAAGAGGCTGCAGGAACATGCCAATGGTGCCGAAGACACAGACAAAGACAAAGATCCAGAGGAACAGGCGGTCGATTACCATGGCGACGTACTTCCAGTCCTCACTCACCTGGATGGAGGAGACGAAGGAAGCCTGGTGTCAGTCACATGGTGAGGGACAGGTATAAGCCGGTCCTACCACACAGACACATCCGGTCCTCCCCTCAGCAATGCTAAAGCACAGCTCCAATCTTACCTGCCCTCACGGCCCATGCACAACGCCAGATCTGGAATCCAAGTCCCCTGACAATTAGGATCTTATCTCCTATTCTTTTCCACCCCACAGTCTGGACTCACAGAACATCTTCTTCCAGGTCTCTATGCCTTTGGGTTTCCTTTGTGTTCTGAAAATCGTGACCTCTTTTTCTTTACCTGGCAAACCCATACATATCCCTCAAAGACCAAATTAAATATCACCTTCTCTATGAAGCACAAAGGCCCCAAAGGGAGGAGATTGATGAGTCAGAAAGATCACACTCTCCGGGCTTTGAGAGCCAGCCAGTGCTCCTCAGAGCTGCCCCACCGCAGCCTGAGTCTAGGCCAGCATACACAGGGGCCCAGCCAGCTGGCGGGGTGGGGGCTGTCAGCCATGCACTCTCCTTTAGTCAGCAGCTGAATAATCACTCAAGCGTGTGGCCGCTCTGCCTAACGGCCACCTGGCACCATGCTAGGTGCTGGAGATACAACTGAGAAGACAAACACAGCCAGCAGTTTACGGTCTCCTGAGGGAGGCGGAGGCAAAAATACATAATGTTTAAAATGACACATGGTGTAGGGACACAAGTGGCAACTAAGCTAAGATCTGATGGTTGAGGAGGAGCCCACTTTCAGGAATGAGGTGAAGAAAAACGCTCAGACAAATCCATATGGTACCCTTTAAATATGTTCAAGCCATGAAAGGCCAAGCTGAGAAGCAATTCCAAACTGAAGGAAATGAAGGAGATGTGACAACTACATGCAGTTTGAGGTCTTAGATTGCAGTGGGGGTGGGGACAGTGACACCAAAAAGGACATTACGGGGACACATGGAAATATGTGAATGTGGACTTTATATTAGATAAAGACATTGAGGGGCCAGGGATATAGCTGAGTGGCACAGCACCTTGCTTGGCAAGTGCAAGGCCCTGAGTTTGATTCCCGGTACCAAAAAATAAGTAAATAAAAAATGTAGAATGCCGGGGCATGGTGGCACATGCCTGTAATCCCAGCACTCAGGGAGGCTGAGGCAGGAGGATCATTGTGAGTTTGAGGCCAGCCTGTGCTACAAAGTGAACTCAAGGCAACCTGAACTACATAGCAAGACCTTGTCTCAAAAAGACCAAAAAAAGAAAAAAAAAGACATGGATGGTCAATTTTCTGCATATGATCATTAAACCCAGGGGTTTAATTTGTTTAAACAAATGGAGATGGACCCCAGGGTCTCAAGCACACTCCACCGAGCCACATCCCCAGCCCCAACCTGGTTTAGGCCAGAGAATGTCCCTGTTCTCAGAGAGACACACTGGAGTATTTGGGATAAATGGTCACAGTGTTTCCAACTTACTCTCACATAGTAGAGCAAAAATTAACAACGCTAATAATCATCTTAAAGGAAAAAAGAAAAACAATCCAAACAAAAGGACCCATATGGGCCAAGGCCCTGAGGCAAAAAACAGCTTGTCTTGCTTCAGAGCGCTCAGCAGTAAACTGGTGCCCTGAGCAAGGGGGAGAGCACAAGTAGACAAGGGTCACTGATAAGTAGACAAGGGTCACTGATTACTCGGATCCAAGAGCTGAGTAAGGGAGACAATTAGGAGATTCCTCCCTGCTCCAGGCAGGAGCTCCTGGCGACCTAGAACCAGGTGTTAGCACAGAGGTGGGGAAGAAAGGATGAAGTTGCAAGTTATTTCTGAGGTGTGCTCACGGAACAGGACTTCTAATGACCCAGATGGTGGGGAAAATAAGAGAGAGAAGAGTCAAGCATCACTCCAGAGTTTTGGCCTGAACTGCTAGCTGAATGGTGATACCATCTGCTAAATGCTGGGGGAAAGTCAGGCGTAGGAACGTAGCTCGAGCACACAGTTGGGGCATGCTGAGGTCGAGGGGCCTGCAAGGCATCCAAGTAGGTTGCGGATCCCCGGCGCCCAGCTGTGGAAATGCTGAAACACGAATGTGCTGCAGCAGGTGCAGAAGGGGAGGCTGTGAGGCAGCAGCAGCTGGGCCCCGCGTCCCAGCACCTCCACCTGGCCTCAGCTGGCCGTGAGGCTCCCCATGCCATCTCCTTCACCCCAACTAGAGATGCTTCTTGGTCCAAGCTTTAGCTCCTACCCAAGTTCCTGCCACCCATGGGAGGAGACATTTGACACCCTCCCAGCCCACACAAAGCATGGTGCCCGCCCTTCCTGTTCCCCAAACAGGAACAGGAGTGTCCCAGAGGAAGCCTGGCCCGTCACCATGGCAACAGCTGAGCCTTGGCCCGAAACCAGCCAGGTGGAGGCTGACCACAGAGCCAACCAGCTGCGGCCCAGAGTGGGGTGATGTCAACCTGCCATACCTCCCCGCAACTCCTGGTTCAGTCTTAAGGAATCCCTTTCTGGGGAGCTGCTGCAGAAAAAGCCAAAACTCTGGGTGTGCAGAGAGGGGAGCAGAGAGGTGTTCAGGGAGCCTTCACCTCTGCCCACCCCCATCTCCATAAATATTTCACCCTGGGCCCCAGAAGAGCAGGAAAGGAATATCGATTGGAGCAGGCTCACAGAACTCTTAACCCCGGCGCGCGCGTGCGCACGCACACACACACACACACACACACACACACACACACGCTGCCAGACACACAGGCTTACTGTCCTCGATTTAGCTTCCCATGGGGCTCACAAAGGACTCGCCTCCGTCTGTGCTAGGAGCAGCAGATTAACAAGGTGCAGTGATGGCTGCAGGAAGGATCCTGGTGGTGACAGCCACAGATCAGCTGCAAAGCCAGCTGAGCCTCTTCCTGTTCCAGGCTGCCCTCGGAACACTAAGATGCCCTAGCTGAAGCCTTTCGCCCTCGATGTGAGGAGGCCCAAGGTCATGTTGAACCATCTGCAATTTAGGTGACACAGCCTCCTGGAAGCAATGCGGGAAGAACCCAGGCCAGCGCCCGGGACTCCACAGCAGGCCCAACTCCCCTTCTCTCCACCCGGCGCTCAGCCTGGCGTGCGCAGGGCCCCGTCCCGCCCGCTCCCCGCGTTGCCTCCCGCGCACTCACACTCTGGTCGTCGTCCTCGCTCCGCATGTGGTCTGCGATGAAGCGCACGCCATCCACCGCCTCACGGAGGCCGCAGCCGCAGGGTCCTCCAGGGCGCCCCTGACCGCTCGCCGCTGCAGGCTCTGCCCCGAAGGCCCCGGCCAAGCCCTGCACGGAGGCGCGGTTGACAAAACAGGTGCAGGAGTCGGCCCCGGGTGCCTCGCGGAAGAACAGGGCCCCGGCGCCCTGGCGCTCACGCTGCCGCCGCCTCAGGCGCAGGCGCTGGCGGGCGCAGTGGTGGCGCGGCTGCTGCATGAAGAGCAGCGTGGGCAGCTTCTCCAGGAACACGACCTTGACCCAGGGCGCCATGGTGTGCGTGGTGGGCGAGCGGTGGTGCACATTGAGCACGCACACGCTGGTGACGATGGAGAAGGTGACCAGCACCATGGTGAACATGAGGTACTTGCCAACGAGGGGCACGTCGAGTGAGGTGGGCGGCACAATCTTGGAGATGAGCAGCAGGAAGACCGTGAGCGCCAGCAGCACAGAGATGCACAGCGTCATCTTCTCGCCACAGTCCGACGGCAGGTAGAAGACGAGGATGGCCAGCGAGGTGATGAGCACGCAGGGGATGATGAGGTTGATGGTGTAGAAGAGCGGCTTGCGGCGGATGATGAAGTCATAGGTGATGTCCACGTAGGTGGAGTCGTCGGGGTGCTCGTTGCGCCGGCCCGGCAGCGCCACGATGTCCCACTCCCCGCTGGGCGTGAAGTCGTCCAGGCTGGCCACGTCACTCTTGAGCACCAGGTCGATCTCCGTGCGGTCGTAAGTCCAGGAGCGGAACTTCATGGTGCAGTTCTGCTGGTCGAACGGGAAGTGCTTTACTTCGATCTTGCAGGCGCTCTTGTAGATGGCAGGTGGCAGCCAGAAGATACTGCCGTCGTAGGAGACCACCGCGTTGGAGTAGAAGGACACCTCGTACATGCCATCGGCACTGTCAAGGGATGGCATGGTCAGCCCTAGCCTAAGCGGTTCCTCACTCCCACCCATCCAGCCAGCCCCAAGTGGGAGGAGAAAAAAGCCAGGCAAGCTGGGAGGAGGGGGACCCCATGGCTGAGAGAGCTACTGTCCAAGAGACCGAGGGCTGGAGCAGGAGCTAGCAGGAAGGTCCAGCAGGTGGGTTGGTGGCAAGAAGAGGTGCCCTGGCCCCTCCGAGATAAAAGAGGGTAGCGGGATGGAGGGGACATGCTTCCTACTTGTCTCACGTTGTGCAAGCCTGTTACTCTTCGTGAGTGCGAGGACAGTGGGAGAACAGAGTGAGGAGCTCCAGGAGGGGGACAAGGGCAGGGGGGAGTAGGACGTGGTCCCATTATCCGTTCGATCAGGTGGAGGGATTACTGCAGGAGTTAAGCTAGAACCCGGAGGAGAAGCTGGGACTTTAAGTTTCTTTGATCCTGCCCAAACTTCCATGAAAGCCTATTTTTTAGTCAGTTTAGGCCCTGAGGGCTGTGGATCTTACATCTTCACCACAGCTCCACGTTCCTGGCAGTCCTAGTTGGCAGATCATGGCTCAAGTCAGCTTGACCCGGGTCTTCTGTCTGCCTGGAAAAGCCCTTTCCCTCTCATAGCAAAGCTAATTTATCTTCCTGCGAGACTTTTTCCCTCCCTGAGTGCTCCCATTGTGTCTCCCGACCTTCCCTTTACCCCAGGGCCACCTACTTGTTGTACAGGACCACATCTGGGAGCCAGATGTGTTTGGAAGGGAGTCGAACCTTCTTCATATTGTCAAACTCCTCAGGCTTCCAGGTGAGGCGATAATCCTCCCACTCCTGGGAAAGGAAGAGAGGAAGGCAGCACCAATCTCCACCCCAGAAGGGGCCAAAGGTCAAGAAAAGGGACAAGAGGGAACCCATTTGGCTTGAGGAAGCTCTTAAAAGCCAGCCTCTTGGGGCTGGGGATCTAGCTCAGCAGCACAAGCACTTGCCTGGCAAGTGCAAAGGCCTTGAGTTCGATTCCCAACACCAAAAAAAAAAAAAAAAGCCTCTTCCCCAAAAGTGAGCTTTTGGCCCATGAAGTGTGGCTCACATGATTCTTTCACATTTAACTTGTGCAACTGGGCCAAGGTATTCTGATGTACATTTTACAGGTGAAAAAATGAACCTGGAGACATTTAATATGTTTAAAATAACAGAGTTAATGAATAACTGAACCAAGATTTAAACTGAATTTATTTAGGACTCTACAGTCTATGCCTGCTCTCCCTCTTTTAAGGAAACTGACGGGGAGAAAAGCTTATAAACAAAAATAAATAAATAAATAGAAAGAGGAGGAAAGAGAAGGCCAGGGGTGTGGTGGGAAGAGCACTTACCTGGGTCAGCCAAACATTGGTGGTCATGATCTGCTCCCGCTCATGCTGCAGGGAAAGAGGGAAGCTTCTGAGGAGCCCCCTGCCACCCCCCCCAACACCACGCACATCTCACCCACGTGGAACACACTTAGCGGAGTAAACACAGACACTGATACATTCTGGCTAGGCTGACTTCAGTAGCTTGGCAGAGAGCTTGGGACCCACACTCACCACACTGATGAGCTGGGCCAGTGACACCATGAGCTGCACTGTCACCAGCTCAGAGCCATTGGTGGCTGGGCGGATGAGTTTGTTGTAGCGGGCGGGATCCAGGAGATGCTCCACCAGTCGCTCCTCTGTGTCTGTACCCCACACTCCTAGGCAAGGCAGGGGCAGGAGGTGAGTAAACAGAAAGGCTCGCAAAGGAGCCACCCTCCCCAGGCAAGTGGGGGGACCCACTAGGCGCAACCACTGTGAAGTGCTCAGGTTACCCCTGGAGGTCCTGGATGAAGGGCCCCGTAGAGGAGCCCTTGTCTGTGACCACCGACTAAGAAGTTCGGACAGGACTGGGCGTGGCAGCACACGCCTGAAATCCCAGCACTGAGGAGGCTGAGGCACAAGGACTGCCATGAGTTCGGGGTCAGCATGGGCTACATGGTGAGTTCAAGGCCACCTTGAACTACACAGCAAGACCCTCTCTCAAAAAAAAAGTTCAGATAGGCCCTATGGAGAGACTGCCAGACTAGAACACACTCAAGGTCTGATGGAGATCTGCTGTTGTTCCAAGGTCCCTCAGAAGGGTTTCTACTTCCATGGTTTCCCTTCAAATACCTGCTGTTCATTCGTGGGAGACTTAGAGCATAGTGAAGGGGGAACAGTTTGCATCCCACCACACACCTGCTCTTCAACCAGTGTCCGCTAATGTGAGTAGGTAACACTGTGTGTCTCTACATGGGACTGTGCTCCTGGCACCATCCCTTTTCCTTGCAGGAACCAGGCTGAGGTAGGATGGCTGGACAGCCTAAACTGTGGGCTGGGAAGCTGTGGGGTGGGTGAGTCCCAAGCTCCGTACACACAGGAGTGCAGCCCACGAGTGGCACTCAGGTATGGCATTCTCAGTGCCTTGCACCTGCCCCTCGAGTGCTCTGTCTGCTTCCGTAACTCTGCACAAACGTGCCCCCCCCCCAGGCCTTTGGAGAGCTGCTTCCTCGTCCTCAAGCCTGTCAGTTTTCCCTTTCAAGTTTCCTGTCTTGTCGGACGAAGAGGACTGAAAAGTCTGTTCTCTCCCCTTTCTGCCTTATTCCCGTGGGAATGTTGAAGGGGGGAAATGATAGGGAGCCCAGGAAGAGGTGCTCAATCGGATATGTTGCCTGAGATAATGTGTCACCAAGAAATCAGATGGCACCTCAGCTGTCATTCAAACTGGCCCCCTGCCCTCGCATAAAGCTTCCTCGCTGTGCCCACAGCCTCCTCAGCACCACCGGCCAGGTTTACACTCCTCCCTGCATCCCTCACTTCTCGGGGTGGCTCCTCTTCCCAGTTCAGTCTCTGGGTGCGCGCCCTGCCACTCCGAGGGTCTCTCCCCCACCCCTCAGCAGGCTTCCCCAGCCCCAGGGAATCCCTCCTCCCTTGCGCCTTCTGGCCTGGCTGGGTAAGACAGAGCACAGCGTCTTGGGCCATCGCCCGGGGTAGCAGGACCTGACCAGTGCCCGTTCTTACCTAGGAGCAGCCCGAGGAGGCCCAAGCTGAGGAGCAGCGCCATGGGGCTGCAGCGCCGGGACATGCCGCCCGCATAGCACCAGCCGGAGCCGCGGGCGGGTGCTGTCCGTGGTGCTGAAGCCGCGCCCGCGCCGCACAGCCGGGCCCAGGTGGTGCTCGCGGCCTCGGTGCCGCTGTGCCAGCCTCACCGCGATTCCTAGGGCGCAGGAAGTCGACAGCGGGGAGGAACCAGCTTGCCTCTACCCCGATCGGAGCAAGCACAGGCTTCTCTGGCTGCTGTTCCAGGGACTACAATTGGGACGGGGAGGGGAGAGGGAGGAGTCTCCGCCCCGGAGGCGGAAGCGCCGGCCAGATCCCAGAAGGGGGTGGGGGGATTCCCGGGTGGGATATTCTTCTACTGGTCTCGCCTAGGTGGGCGTGCATGAGGCGAAGAAGGGCTGTCCGCCTCGTGGAGGAGGAGTTGTGAGGCCCAGAAGTTGAGGCGGGACATGAAAAGATTTGAAAAAGAACCAGGACACTGGCGGGAAGAAGCAGCGGGCCAAGTAGGTCAGCGCCCTCTTGGTACAAGGGTCAGGTGGGAGGGTTAAGACTGACAAAATGACCCAAGTCGTTGAAGCTCGTGCTCGTTTTTCTCTTCCTGGGAAAGCTGGGAACATGCTTTTTAGGCCCTTAGAGAAAGAGAAGGGGTGGAGGTGAGGGTGGGGTTGTTATTTCAAGAAAGAAAGAAAAAAATCCCCAGCTTTGGAGTCTTGGAACAGAGTCCCCTTGCCTGTCCCTAGCTCCACCTACAAAATCTCCCTAGGAGGCCAGGACCCTGCCCACCCCCATTGGCTCTAAGGCAAGGAAGTCCAGACTTCTAAATGAGGTAACCTTGAAGCCCTTGAAGAGCGGGAAGATGAGGATCCTCTCTCACCCATATTTGATATTTGCTTCCACTTCACTCTTTGTCTTCCTTGTACCAGGAGATCAGGGGATCATTTCACAGAGAAAGACAGAAGCTAACATAAAGGATAGTAAAGATGAGAGAGGTGTCAAAGCTCAGTGGCATCTTTGATCTTGAAAGTCCTGAACTGCTGAGCCAATAAAGGCTTCTCTTTTATTTCTGAGGTGGATTTGTTGTCACTTTCAACCAAAAGATCCCCGACCAAAGTGAACTTATCACACAGCAAGGCCCTGTTTGTCTCATCCAGGCCCACTCCTCCAATCTCATCTGGGCCACATTTAATCCCTGCCACCCCCTATATATCTAGGGCTGTTAAACCCAGGGTTCTCTGGCTATTTTATCACTCTTTTCCCCCCTAACTACCTTTTAGTTAAATTGGAGCATTTGGCAGGTGTTTTCGTTCCTCAAGGAAGCTATATCTGACCCAGGATAAAATCAGGAGCTCTGTTACACGCTTGCAGAGCATGTCCAGTGAGATCCTTCTAAAGTAGTGGCTGCCTCTTCTAATAAATTATTAGGCATCCAGTAAAGGCTAAAGACACAGGAGAAGGACCAGTACAGACATGTGTAATATGTAGTGGGAAGTCCTCTCTAAAAGCTGAACTAGAAACAACTTATTTAACATGTCCCCAGGTTTTGAAAATGAGGGAAAGAAGCATGACAAGTTCCAGAAAAGCCCTGGAGAAGAGAAATGGCCACAGGCCCCACAGTGCACGCGGGAGTGGGCATGACCCTACACTACCAGCTGAAGGCGTGCATGTCTAAACATGCAGTAATCTCTCAGGAAGGAAATACTGGTGCCAATGAAAGGAGTAGATAATAAAAGCCTTAACAAAAAGGCAAGGAATGTGTGCAACCTCTGCACTTAGAGAGAGGGTCACAGGTGAGAAGATTCACCTCCAAAAACTTGCATGTCTACTGTATGTCAGGAACTATACAGGACCTGAGGATGCAGTGATCAAAAGGATTTAGTCCAGCTATTAAGAAGATCACAAGATGGATTTTTTTTTTTTTTTTTTTTTGGTACCAGGTATCGAACTCATGACCTCACACTTACCAGGTAGACACTGCGACTGAGCTAAATCCCCGGCCCAGAGATCACAATATAGCAGCAAATTATTTAACAGTGGGGCAGCTGCCCTGGGAGAAATGTAGATGAGGGGCACAGAGGAGGGAGAGTTAATAGTGCCTGAGGGGCCTGGAGGGAATGGAGATGAACATGGAGATTAGAAAGAGAAGAAAGGTATAAGACAAGGGAGGCTTGAAGATATTCCACAGTCCTGAGAGAAACAAGGGGCTTCTGTGGATGTGGTGTGATGGAGGAGACCAGGATGCCTTCTCTTAGGGAAATCAGCCTGTTTCTGGCTTGATATATAGAATAGAAAGGGTGAATGTGCTTGTTTGAAGCTGTGGCTGCTCCCTGATGCTCCTTCAGGCCAGTCTAAGCAGCCTGTTCACCATGGCCTTTCTTCTCAAATCACCCAGCTTTTACTTCAAGTTTTCTTCCAACCTGTGGAGGAACAAATCCTCAAACACAACCACCCAATGACCAAGGAGAGCTGCAACACCTCCCTGCCCTGTCTCTCCTCACACAGTGCCCTGTGCCTTCCGACTTCCAGAAGGGAAAGGCAGCTGGGGAGAGAGGACAGGCCAGCACCACATAGGGTAAAAGACAGATAGAAAGGTGGCAGTTCTGAGGCAAAATAGTGATTAGTTTTGACAATCTCATTGCCTCTGACCAGCCTCTCTCCTTCTGCCTCTGTTTTTCTCTCTGTCTGTGTCTCTCTTTCTTTCTTTTTTTTTTTTCTAGACAGTGTCCAGGCTGGTCTTGAACTCACTATGTAGCCTAGGCTGGCCTCAAACTCATAGCAGTCCTCCTGCCTCGGCCTCCCAAGTGCTGGGATCACAGGCTTGCACCACCACAACTGGCTTGTTTTGTTTTGTTAAGACAGGGTCTCACTATATAGTGCAGGCTGGCCTTGAACTCACTATGTAGCCGGCTGGTCTCAAACTCCTGGCAATCCTCCTGCCTCAGCCTCCTGAGGATTACAGGCATGTGCCACCATATCCGACATTTTTGGTATAGGCATATATCATTTCTGTGGGGTACGTAACTAAATCACATACATTCTTGTTATTTTTAAAGGAATATGTAGTGATACAACTTTGCAACCTTCCTTTTTCGTGTATGATTTTTCAAACATCTCCATACCCATAAATATTCTTTAATAATTAATTTTTTCTGTCTTTGAGACAGGGTCTTACTGTGTCCCCCAGGCTGATCCCTATTATTTGCTGATCCCTATTATTTCCCACACCATATTACAGTCAATTATATTCGGCTCCAGTTCACCCATTGCCATGTGTTCCTGAGGGCAGGAGCAGGAAATACAGTCAAAGATAAACTGAGTCACAGCTGTTGTGTAAGGAGCTCCTTCTCTATGTCACAAATCATGCCAGGAGCTTCCCACAGGGCCTGTATCTCCTTTATCACCACATCCCCAGCACCCACTGCAGCTTCAGGCAAAGAGCAAGTGCTAGGAACACATCTATTAAGCCAGTGTCAGAGCACTGTGCTTCTGGGCCGAGTCAGAGAGAGGGCTGCTCATCCTGCTTTGCAAAGCGCACCTGCTCACTCTGATAGCACACGACCTTTCCAGCAAAAGAAAATCCCTACAATCCACTTTCCACAGAACAGCTGGAGTGACCTGCAAAATGTTAAATCCCATCGTGCTATTTCCACTTTAAAATCCTCCAGTGGTTTCTCCCCACACTTTGAATAAAACCCAAACAACTTTTGTGGTCTCCATAATCCAGCCCCTGCCTTCTCTACTGGCCTTGTCTCACAGCCTGTCTCCTCTACTTTCACTAGACTCAAGCTACATGGATCCTCTCTCAAAGCATTTATTCAGTTCTGCAGTTTTATGCACTTTGCATGTGTTCTTATGAAATCCTACCAATAACTGGCCAAGGTAGGCAATACCACAATCTCTACCTTACAAGGCACCAACAGGATGTATATAACTCACCTAGGGTCATGTCATGAATGTCTGGTGGCGCTGGGGTTCAAAGCCTATGTTCTTAGCTAGTGTATCCTTCACTTCCTATTCTGGAACTCAGCCTTTGAGGTTACTGCTGTCTCTGCCTAAGAAGAACCTTCTGTTTCTCTCTCAGTCCTGCTTCTTTAATAGAGCTCACACTGTGAGAAAGACACCGCATCCAGACCCCACTCGGACCCATGGCAGCCCTGCCCAGGCCCAGCTCCCCGCTTTGGTGCAGTGAGCTGCTCATCCAGGGCCGAGCCCCAACAAGAGGCTGTTGGGTGGGCCAGATCTGGTTCTGACTGCGCTAATAAATCCGTGGAAAGAGAAAAAAAAAAAAAAAAACAGAGCTCAGCTCAAGTGCCACCTCCTTAGTGAGACCTTCCCTGACCACTGGATTTAAAGTAACCCAAGTCACTCTCTCCCATGTGGCCCTACCTTAACACCTTCTGCTGACTTTAAATCTGGGATATTATTCTGGCTCCTTACATGTTTGTTTTTTATGCACTCCTTGCAAAAAAGTGCCAAGAGAGCTGCTCTCACCTGTCTCATCCATTGCTTTAATATGCACACCTAGACCGGTGTCTAACACATGGAAAGCCCCACTAATGTTCATCGAGTGGCAAGCACCTCTTGGCTTTTGAGTAGTGACAAGTAATCAGATTGATAGTAGGTTTAGCACTTGCCATGCCATGGACTGAGCACCAAGCACCGTGTTACTCCTTTATATATCTCATTTCATCTCAACTGGCACAATGACCATGCTGCAAGGCAGAGTATCTTACTCATTTTATAGATAAGGACTCTAAGTGTTCAGAAAGTAAATGTCTTGCCAAGGTCACATATAGCACAACAGAGAAGCAAAGCAGCTGAGCTTAAATCCAAGTCCACTTTGGTCTGACTCCCCAGTCCATGCTCTTCCCAATCATTTGTGCTGGCTTTGCTGGTCTAATTCAGAGACTCCAACAGCCTCTGATGAGCACCCTTGCCTGCCCTCTGTCCTAAGCTCAGATGGCACAGCCCACTGGATGGTTCGTATCATTCGTTGCCTTCATGTGCTGTGTCCCAACTCAACTGCTATTTTCCACAAGCTCTGCTGTCCTTTCACAGGTCTCATTCTGTCAGGCTACTGTTATAGTTTCACAGACTTTTTTTCCACAGATTTTAAAGTGTCCCAAAATTGGTAATTTTTTTTAAACTTCCTTGCTGTAAAGTAAGTGCAAATTCATACACATGGCTTTGAATGCTTTCTGTTGTAGTCAGAGTTTACAAGGGAAAAGATTTAATACAGGACACATTATTTATAGAGTTACTTTATAATATTCACCCAAAAAGTCAAATGCAAAAGAGTATGTGAGATCTGTCCACACTCCAGAGACCCAAAGAATACAGCTGAGGGTCTGGATCCCATGGAGATGTACTACACAAGTCCAGCTGAAGATCTAGAGCCCATGGCAATGTCCTTCATGAATCCAGCTGGAGGCCTACAGCCTATGACAATGCTTCATGAACGTCTGCATTAAGGATCTGCACTGGAAAGGTCCGAAGGTCAG